TAATTAATTATATTATTATTATTAAAAAAATTATGAAACCTTTTCAAGTGTGGAGACTAAAGTCCTTGTTTGGGTAACCTTATCCAAAGGTCTAAACACTCATCAAATTTTTGTTTTGAGAGATGTTATATTTCATGAGCATATGTTTCGTTTCAAATATTTCAATACTAATTCAAATATTTTTACTTTTTGACAAATGTATAGGATTTATCCATGTCATAATCCCATTGATGATTCTATCCAAATAACTTGAGCACCCTAACACTTTGTTAATGGTGAATTCATCATTATATTGTAGGTGGGGGAAAGGCAAGGGGTGCTGTGCGGGGCATTCAAGGTGACTTTGCAATAAGGCTTTGGAGAAAGAGATATATTCCATGAACCAATTGCACAGTTGCTGTCAGCATCATTCTTCTTAGATTGTTCCTTTCAATTGTTTTATGCCTTGCCACGCCACTACTTGGATGAACAAATATCGTACAAGGAAAAGAAAACACAAAAGGATTTCTTTCTTTTTTTTTGTTGTTTTGTTTGTTTTTCCTCTGGATTAAGAATAAAGACCGGATCGAGGAAGGTGAAGAGACCACAATATATGATTATAACAACAAAGCCAAGAGCAACCTTAAGAAATTTGATTCATAAAAAATTTGAACTGAATTCATCTATATTACAATGAACTCTATCTTGAGTAAATAGTATAATAATTTGGGTGTAATTATTTTGACAACGAACTTTAGTCTGATTTTAATTAAATATTATCATATTTAATTTGACTCAATTAGTTCAATTTATTTTATGTACGAAAGTCAAACACTTTAAGACAAATAAAAATTTTCTATTTAAATAACTTAATTACATATTTACATGACCAAACATGGAAAAAAAATCGAATTAAAAATGTACATGTTCCAATATTTTTTGAAAATATTACTTTATTTCTCACTCTATTTTTTTTTTCTAAAGTATTTGATATGTGGGAAACTGAAAGAAAGCACGTGTGTCACATGCTATTGCTATTTCACCGAACTCAAGCACCCAACAATAATATGACCTCGTCCGCTGTCATCAACCAACAGGAAAAAGAACAGGAACCCAAAAACAAAAAAGCACCGCCAACAAACGACTTCACACTACCAAAAAAGAAAAGAAGCCGAAAACTCGATGAAAGCAAAGTAATTGGCAGCCTCGGTTATGGAAGCCAAGTCGGGGAATTATCGCCAGCATCTTTCTCCATATTCCTTATCAGTATCTTACCATTTGTTCCATTCTCTCTTCTCCTTCACGCCTCTCTGACTTTCCTCTTATAACCCACTTCGATGCTTTCTCTTCCTTGATTTCCTTGGAGACCTCGCATTGTTTTTTTCTCTAGTAATTGGATTTTTTGCTATCTCTTTTTCTTTTTGATGCAATGTACAGCCCAGATCGCTGCTTGTTCATTGACTCGACTAGGACTTCACAACAGTTGAATCTTGATCGTCCATTTTTGTCAGGTGGCTTGTTTCTCAACGACCAAACACTGCCTCCCTCGATCGTTTCATTCATTTCGTTAAAGACCCAGAAATGTTTTGTTGATAAAAATGACAATTTGAGTTTGGTTTCATGTTTTGTGGGTGGTGGGAAGAGTAGTAAAACGCTGCGTTCTGTAAAGTCGAGGAGAGGTGGTGGTAAAGGGGGCTGGTTTTTATCGGTGAGTTTGTCGCGGGAGGAAGGGTATGTTGGCGAATCAGGAGAAACTTGGGGGCAAAATGGGGATAAGAATTTGGAAGAAGCGGAAGTGGTGGAAGAGGAGAAAGAGAAGTTGAAAGTAAAGAAGGGATCAGGTGCTTTGAATACCACCAAACATCTTTGGGCTGGTGCTGTTGCCGCTATGGTTTCAAGGTTTTGGCCTTTTTTTTTTTCTCTATTTTAATTTTTTTCATTTATATTTTTGGGTTATAAAGTCTGAATATGTTATGTGAAAAATGGTAGGGATGGTTTTAACTTTTATATCTGATAGAACATTAAATGACAAAAATTTTCTCGTAATTCTTGACTTTTCTTAGACTTTTTTGTTTTTGGTGCTGTTTGGCCAAGTGTGAAATGTTAAGAACTGACTAGTCAGGGAATTCTAAGTGATCAAATTATATAACAGCTTGATAAGTATGAGTGCTGGGATTGAACAGAATATAAGTTACTAGTAATGTGGCAAATGTTAAGAAGAATATGAGTTGATAATCTGATAATGGTTTAAGATTATATTCATTTTACTTAATATGTTAGGCGATAAGTTCAAATTTATTGTTGAATTGAAAGCTTTATCAAGCACACTTGTTACATGATGGTGCGGAAAAGGTTTTATGGTATACCTTTAGGTTGTACTTTTACATCTCCTATGATACAATGATATTACTCATAGTACCTTAAGTGCTTGTAATTCATCTCCAGTTGTTGAATTAGTATCTATGGAATCACATTTCCTAGCTCAAATAGTTGTTTGCTTTTGTAACAGGACTTTCATTGCTCCTATGGAGAGATTGAAGTTGGAATACATTGTTCGCGGTGAACAGAAAAACCTTATTGAACTAATTAAATCTATTTCATCCTTAGAAGGGTTGAAAGGTTTTTGGAAAGGGAATTTTATCAATATTCTTCGTACTGCTCCTTTTAAGGCTATAAATTTCTATGCATATGATACTTACAGAAGTCAACTATTGAAATTTTCTGGAAATGAGGAAGCGACAAACTTTCAGAGGTTTCTTTCTGGTGCTGCAGCTGGGATTACTGCTACTTTGCTTTGCTTACCTATGGACACTGTATGTAACAGTTTAAGACTTCACTAATTTGGTTACATATTTAGCCTCCTCTTTTTGTATTATGTGTGGTCTGGTTGGGGTGTGGGGGATTTTGTGGAATTTGATATCTTCTTGTTTGAAGTATTCATAGTATATGTTCTTAGATTTTGCTGCATGATCTGATGAGACGCAAGGATGGGACTGGAAGTAGCATGCTTCAGTGAGTTTACTCTACTTGCCCTTGTATGTAGTGTACGGAAAGGGGATGATCCTCCTCTTGATGGGTCCCGCCTCTTCAATCTTTATGGCTTAAGTGCTTTTGTATTTACTTGTGATTTCTGTCTCCAAGATTTCACATGATGCCATTGTTAAGCTGTCTCTTTTATTCATAAAACTTGGATAATAAGTCAACAATTCAGTGTCCTAAACTGAAACATGTAGTTTCTGTCCCAAGAATATTATACTTAAGATTATCTGATTTGGATTGGGGTATGGGATTTGGATGTTTTGATGTCTAATGGAAATCATGGGATGAGATATTCCCTTCATGTATGCAAGGCACTTTTAAGGAAGTCCATATTCTTTGTTATTGCATAGTAACGATTCCGCCCATTTTTCAGGACACCTCTTTAGAACAAGGTAATATCATGACTTTGGTGACTGCTACATGCCCTACTTGTACAAAAACTTTTGTTATGGATGCAAGTCAGCAACAGATTCAATTTTTTGAATACTATTTGCTTAACACTAGTCTGATGAAATTAGTTGCGTCCTGTTCCATGTCTCCAACCTACATTAGTTATTGTAATAGATTCTTTGTAATTTGATGTCTATGCCTTCTTGAGAATTCCATTCGCTTGTACTTATTCACATCTCGTGGTCAGAGTAGATGGCCTTCCCTTTTTATACCTTTTTTTGGCACAGTTGGTTACTATTAAGTTGGCTATTTGAATGGTGACTCTGCTAAAGTAATTTTGATATCTCAATCTAGGTTGTGCTCTTAATATTTGTTTCTTGATTGTGGTGTTTGGAATTGGTCTCCACTTGAGATCATTGTTAAATCACACTGTACATGCTAATTTCAGATAAGGACAGTAATGGTAGCACCGGGTGGGGAAGCATTGGGTGGTTTAATTGGTGCTTTCCGTCACATGATTCAGACTGAAGGGTTCTTTTCACTTTATAAGGGACTAGTGCCCTCAATTATAAGCATGGCACCTTCAGGTGCAGTCTTCTATGGTGTCTATGATATATTGAAGTCAGCCTATCTTCATTCACCTGAAGGGAGAAAAAGAATTCAAGACATGAAACAAGGTGGGCAGGAGCTGAATGCATTTGAACAATTAGAATTAGGTCCTATTAGAACATTACTATATGGGGCAATTGCTGGTGCATGTTCTGAAGCTGCGACTTATCCATTTGAAGTAGTGAGGAGGCATCTTCAAATGCAAGTTCGTGCGACGAAGTTAAGTGCATTGGCAACTTGTGTCAGGATAGTTGAGCAAGGTGGCATTTCTGCTCTTTATGCGGGATTGGTTCCCAGCTTACTGCAGGTACTAATTACATCTCTCTAGTAAATGGACTATGACTCTATTTTATGAATTTGTTTTATGTCTATTTGATTAATTAGATGCTCTAATTATACAAGTAATGAGTGGAATATTTAGTATTACCAAATTTAAAATGTTATTGAACTCTCAAAGGTGTAAAGCTTGGACTGCGTGGTATCTGATAGATCTGAATTTCTTTCCAGAGACAGAAATTGTTATAGAGATGCCAGCAGACTAAACTTTAAAGAACTTAAGGTTTGAAGCATATTAATGGACAAGTTTACTACTGATTTTGCGTGCATTAGTTGTTGAGACACATATGGCATGTCGAAGATAATGCAAGCCACAGCTTGAGTTTAGGAGAGCCTATGAGACTTCAAAACAAATACCCAACTTTTTAACAATTTGGTAGCTAGGGCACTTGGAATAGGAGTTAGAATTTAAACAAAAAATTGGGAGGATTATGTAATAATTTTCCCTGTCAACGTCTAGGGCATGGATACCAGGCTCAGCATTAATGCATACATTCTATGCATATTGAACTAAACAGATACAATACACGCACACACACAAAATGTGCAACTTCTTTTTAATGCAATTAACTGCAAAATTTGCAGAGAAATAACTTTTGGTTTAGTTTCTGATATGGACTTAATACCTATTTGTTATAAAATGAACTACTCATTTGATGTTTTTCATCAAGATCTTGTGTGATTCTGTGAAGCAATATAGGATTGCACCAATTTGTTGTTTCAAGTTTCTTGCTTTCTTTGTTTACTAACTTAATTCATTACATCACACTACAGGTCTTACCTTCAGCTGCCATAAGTTACCTTGTTTACGAGTTCATGAAGATAGTGCTAAAGGTGGAATTGGCATAGGAATTTTATCTACTTGACTAAAAAAATATAGGAGGGAACTATTGAGATTGAGGCTGGGGGTGGCGTTTTATTTCATAGAAGGAAACCTTGACAACTTCAAGTTTACCTGCATCAGTTTACAACACAACAGAAGGACAATAATCATTTGTAAAATTTCTATTGACATGATGTTCTTTAAACTTATTTGATAGATCAACCACTTTGAATTATTTCGAAAATAACTTTTACTTGTTTAGTAGAATTATGAGTATAATTTATTTTCTCAATGTAGAATCAATGTTGCTTGGCTGATGTTTTTGCAATCTTTTGTGTTGGCGATAAGTCTTTTGCTGGCCTTAGCCTTGGAAGTAGCTTTGAACATTGTTACAAATTTTTGTCCTTTATAACCTTTTTTTTACCTGTCAAAAATATTCTAGAATCTACAGATGTGAATTTAAATGAGCTTAGAGAGGAAATTAAATTTAAAAATTTAAACAGATTATTTATTAAATATAAATGTAATCGTATTAATTGTTTTAATCATATTATGTGTTGATTGTGATAATCATATTTAAGTATGTTATTAAACATATGGAATTATATAAAATTTAATTTGATATATTTAATGAACGTGTGTTAATCATATTGTGTGTACGTTTTTAACACATTTATTTAATTATATTGTATTCATATTTATCATATAATTGTTAATATTTTATATTTATGTATAATTAAAACACGAGATACGGGAAACGAATTTTGAGATCTAATTTTGTGTTGGGCTCAAAATAGTTGGTATTTTTGAGTTCCGTTTTGGGTAGGCCTGAAACGCTTTAGCTAGAGTTGGTTTCTTGGGCTTCTTTCGTTCCATACTAACAAATCAATTTTAAATTTAATTTAAAAGATTACACTTCAAACAGTACAATGAAATTTTAACTGCAGTAAGGCAGTTGCATCAAACTTGGCGTGGTAAAAGATAAAAAATGTCTAGCGTCCAGGGGACTAGAATGGTTTATCATGGCAATCAAATCTAATAAGCCACCTTAATTTTAAACAGAAAGTAGAACATGTCCCTCACAAGATTAGGGCAGACATGCAGAAGAGATCACTCAGTCGTTGCACCATTGTAAAGCAGTGGAGATCAGACTAGTTTACGGAGGAAATTACTCTAGTATCTAATATTCGTCAATTTGAATAGTTTTCACATGTTCGCCATGCGTATATTCACACAATTCTTCCATTACATTACATAGAAAATAAAAGCATAGGTATTCATTGAAAATTACAGAAATTCTCAGTTTGGCTCCGAAATAAAAACCATAAAGAGAAAAATAAATAATGAGTCAATAATAAATTTGGATAAATTAAAACAAGATAACATGAACAAAAGAAAGAAAGATCAGTCATATCTCTTTTGGTCATTGGAATTGTGAAGGAAATTAATGCAGAAAATTTCTCATTGGATAGACATGGACATTTTGTTCCATTTAGAATTCAGAGGACAAAATCAGCCGCCGCAGACATCATGAACTATAGATTGAGTTCAAGCTTTTTGGTACAATTGCTTGCCCATAATTCTTCCGTCAGATACGCTCACTCTCAGCAATATGATCGTCAACACCATTAATGATCTGGCTTTGCAAATAAAAAGAGGAGGTAGAAGAGCCACACTTGATGCTTTTCACGGCATTTCTTCCTCTTCTTCTTCTTCGTGGATAAGTAAATAGATTGGAGGGTAGTCGCAGTTCTCTTATTCTCATTTGTCAACATTCATAATTAATGGTGGATTCAGAATTTCATATTTGAAGGGATAATATTTAAAAATGTTAACATTTTGTAGAAGACTTCTTTTCTTGAAATAAGATTTAATTCTCTTCATGACAATCTATTTTTATAGTTTAAAATTTTTTGAAATTATTTAAAAAAATCAATTTCAATAATTTACTTAAAATAATTTTTTTTTCTATTGGTACATGTACATCTAGGAAAAGTCAAGGTCTCAAGGAAACGGGCCGGGGCCTAAATTTAGCAATGGGTTAAATGGACTAACCTTTTCCTGCCACATGATATATTTCAAAATTATGCAAATTGATTGGTTTAATCTTATTATGTATTTTATAATTATGACTATACAAATTTATTTTAATTTGAAGGATTATTTAAATAAGAAAATGCATAAAAAAAGTGTTAGTGAAATTCTTTCATAATAATTGAAATGTTAAAATTCAATTTGGAATTACACAATCGACAATTGTTGATTGCCTACAGTCTTCATGGGTTTTGGCTTCTATTGCCTTCTTATCAAATTCCCTTGCTAGATGACTTTGGTTTGTTTCTCCTCTGTTTTGAAAATTGTACAATCGCTGTATAGATTGATTATAACAGCTTATAGTGTTCAACTCATGTTCCCTGCAGCATTTTTGAATGAAAGTTTTTTGTAACGATGTAATGGGATATACTTATCCTTTTTTCTTTTGAAATATAATTATCTGACTTTCAAAAATAAAAATTCATTGAAAACAATTGTAATCACATACTTGTATTTCTTTTTGTGAAAGAGATAAACAAATTAATTACAATTAAGGATTTTTAATCGGAAGTCTGTGTTTTATTTGGCGTTGAGTTTAGGATCAAAAGGGGCAAAGGGGATTAATTGGAGGTGTTAATCATGTAAGAGAAATAACAACATCATTTGACCACAATGTTGACCCAAGTACGAATCGTACCTTCTTCTTACCGTACAATATTGATCATCGAATGTTGACCAAAACCTTGCTTTCTTCTAATGGATATGTTTGGAAAAATCAGCTGCGTCGAGGGAAGCCATGACGCAAGCTAGATAGCTATCTTCTTAACCAACTCAAGTTAAGGAAGTAATTTGAAAATTTATATGCCAATTTCGGCTACTAAAAAAGTGCCTTAACTAATTTTTTTTTTTAAAAGGAGAAATTGCTTAAATTATAAATCACCTTTTCCTATTGAGTCTGTTAATTATACGTCAACAAATTAATATGCAATACAGGGAAAAATTGTGAAATGATAAGTACATGAATTCATTTTTTTATTATTTTTTTGAAAGGCATGTTTTTTATTAATTGAATATGATATTTGTTATTAAGTGGTGGATCCATATATGTTGATAAGATCATTTTTGGATTGATTTCCATATATATATATATATATATGAATTAATTAAATCATTAGAAAAGCCACATTCTCGTGAGCTATACTTTTGAGCAGCAATTAGGAATTTTATTAGAAAGTTATCTCCAAAAGAGCACTAGGAATGGTAAATATCACATGCTTGTAATAATAAAGGAGTGTGAACATTATCTCACAGCCACTTGGCCAAAGAAATCAAGATTTATATATGAGTTGGTTAATTAAGTTTGATACTTATGCACAGCACTCCAGCAATTTGTCAATACAGAATATCACGATGTCAAAAGACTTTTTTTTTTTCAACACAAATTTATTATTGAATTCAAACTCTAAACCAATTATACCTATATTTTATATATTTTTCAGCACAAATTTGTCTTAATTATAATAAAAATACTATATATTTATTCTTTTTTTCATAACACTTGACATATAATTAATTTAGTTACATTCAAAACTACACGTAAAATAAAAATTAATAATGTAACAAAAAATTAAAGAATCACTCCATCTAAAATTTTAAACCCATAAATTAAAATCTTAGTATGTAATAATCTTTAAAGAATCAAAACACCCTATTTTTATTCTGCTGTTCTATCATTGGGGTTCAAAAAATTCGTAATTGTAATATAACGTAATGTTTAATTTGTTCAGTGGCCAAATTTTTTATCCAACCAAAGGTAAAAATATCATTCAATGCGGAAGTACAAAGGATATAAATGTGGGGAAGAAAACCTAAACCTCAAATATAACTGAAGAAGACAACAACAAAAAAAAAGAAAAACTCAAACCTCCAAAATAAAAAGAAACTTGAAACACATGATCCCCTGAAGCAAATACGGCTAAACAATGTAGCAGAAGATAGAGAAAGAGAGAGAGAGCAGTTTTCCGTCCTGGGTTTCACCAAGATAAAAAGCAAAAGCTTGGAGAAATTTGATTTTGAAGCTATTTTTTAATTCATCCGGGAATTTAAGACAGATTTTTCACTGTTACAAATCGCCCGCCAATTTGACATTGATCAGGATTGAACTAACAATTAATGATTGATTGTACATCGAAAGAATTTAACAAAAAATGAAAAAGCGAAAGAAACAAATAAAAGTTCTTCAAAATTGGTTACAAAAAGGAATGGAGCTAAAGATATTGCAGTTCATCTATTGTTTACTCTTCTTTCCATCCATGGAATCATCAACAGCTTTATCATGGTTCGCCCCATCTTTTCCATTGACATCAAATAGAACCATATCGTCTCAATCGCACTTCTCCGTTGAACCACTGTTGGAGAGCGAAGCTCAGTGACTCGTTCTCTGCAATGGTAGCTTGGCAAACTTGAATTGTTGATACAACAGCCTTGCTTGACATGCCCTTTCAAGAATTCTTCTCCTTCTTCTTCTTCCCCGTCTGCCAATAAGTGCGGCGGAGGCAGCTCGTCACCACGTTCCCACTCATCAACATCCAATCCCCATTCTATGTAATCCACCCCCGCCATTGCTAAAGCTTCTATTGAAACTGACATGATTTTATGTAAAGCGTAGCTAGAATGTCTAAAAACTTCGGTTCCTTTAGATATTAAGTATGATTCTAATAGAACTTGGGTGGCTTGATAGTTTTAAAATGACCAGATATGTTGTATTTATAGGCTATTTATTCCCTGCATGCAGATAGACTTTCTTCTCAAAACTCACGGGCTAGCCTCCAGAAGTGGAGCGGATGTTTCCCTAGGAAAAATAGAGAAAGTAAAGGGATAAAAGTGTTTTAATTTGAGAGTATATTACCTTATTAATTCATAAAAGAAGTAACATTCTCGTGATTGTACGTTTGACCAAAGTATCCCAAGTCTTTTGCTTGCTGGACAATGCTGATCATGGAAATATTGACCAATGGTCAGCGCATTGGGGAAAGTCAACATGATGCCGAGCGGTTTGATAGCTGAAATTAACTGATTCTCTCTTCAAGGAACTCAAGTGTAAAGAACGACAAACATATGCCTACATTACGTATTAAACATATGAAAGATTATTTGTCCCTATGCCTGACGTATCTAATGAGATAAACAACATGTTCCTTAATTAGATTATAAATTTTAGAATTTTCATGGCTTGAAGGAATTTGAAGGGTGTGCAATTATACAAATAAGATTATAAAACT